TGTAGCCGGGTCTGAAGCCCGACTGGAAGGGGTCGATATAACTTGCTTCCTCCAAGGACCGTTGAAGCTGGAAGGCCACCACCTTCTCGACAACCTTCCCCACAAAGGGGAGGTTGGAGACTGGACGATAGTTGTTAAGGGCAGCTGGATCCAAAGATGGCTTCTTCAGGCGGGGTCTCACCACCGCCGCTTTAAGTGTGGCGGGGAAGTGCCCCTCCCGAAGAAAGGCGGTAACAACCGCCTGGATTCAGCCTCGTGTCACCTCACTGCTGTTGGCAACCAGCCATGAGGGACACGGGTCCAGTACACCGGTGGAGGCACTCACAGCTCTCATTGCCTTGTCCACATCCCTTTGAATAGTGTACCGAACTCAAATAGCCAAAAGTTAATTATCCCAAAAAAAAAAACTCAACTTGATTTAATTTAAATGAAAATGAAGTGGGTTTTGTGAATATAATTACTTTAAGCTCCAACTGACTTGCAAAAACTTACAAAAACTACTCTCCAAGAACATTCTTATGAATAGATGCTATTAAGCTTCAGGGTGTGAAAAAAACGCTCAATACTTAAAAATATTCTTTTTGAGTAATCAAAATTCAATTTATTTGCTTTAAGATTTCCTTTATTTTTGCACACTTGGTCCTAATGTCTCTGAGTGGTTTATAAATTAAAAGTAAGAACAAAGAAATCACAAACAGCCTGAAGGTGAATTTATAACTTAAATAAATCCTCCAAATGATGGGCTGAGCCACCCTCCTGCCTAAAGCCCAGGAGAACCATTAGATCTTTGGTAGCTTCCTGAATGTTATTGGGGTAAAAGACAAGAAGATCCCTGAGGCATTATCATTTCAAAGCTTCTTGGATTGTGCTGGATGACACTGCTCAATTGCTGGGGACCAGAATGTGGGGGAAACGGTATATTGAGAACATTCATTTAATTTCAGTTAGTAATAGAAACTGAAAATGTTTCCATCAGCAGATTGCCAAGAAATTAGAATGAACCAAATTGCTGGTTTTGGTCATATCTCTGGTTAAATGAGTATAGCTTCTTTTACAGAAATGGTATAATGCTAACATAGAAGAATGTTTCAGTCAGAAAACAACAATTCTTGAATCTTCAAAATCCATCCTGAAAAGAAATAAGGCATTAAAATGTCTGTTGAAACATAGAATATAATCTGCAAGGCCTAAAAACTGAATACAGTAATACTGTTAACACATGAGAGATAGTAGAAAAAAGACACGAACAAATTGCCAAATATTTATTTCATTAACTTCAGACTGAATAACTTTGTAAGCTGCTGCCAAAATATCTCTGGCTTAGAGTGAAATCTAATTCTCAGTCAGGAACATTTTATAGTTGACAACACTCTGACCATTACGACACTTCACTAGAACAGGACCAAGGTTGTGAGAAAAAGCAGTAGACTACGTCTTGTCCAAAGTGGCCTGCCTGTTGGGGTGATTTTTTCCACTTGGGAGAGTAATGCTCTAAAGATTTCTGATCTATTGATCTACCTTTATCTTCAACAATCTCGGTGCTGCTATTTCTCTTCTAGTATCACATCCATCCTCCAGCAGCAGAAACAAAAATGGCCAGACAGGCAAATTGGCAGGGCCTGGAAAGTACAGAACATGCCCACAGTTGCAAAAACTAGCCCTTAGGAGCTGGACAGATGCCGACCCTCTCAAGTCTCTGCCGTGGTTGTCACTGAAGTAGCACACATGATGATAAGCCTGGCTACACTTAATATTTGTCACAGAAGACGGTCAGCCAAACAGTGTTTGCACTTTCTGGTCAAAAATTCAGCAAAGAAAACTGCCAGCCAAGCGGTATTCATTTGAAATCATTTTAAAATGGCCAGTAATAAAGTACCACATTCCACCAGGTCAGTGATGGGTTTCAATATTTTTTAGAACCTCTTCTGTAGGTGTGGCCTGCTTTGTGGGAGTGGCTTGGTGGCCCTGTGACCAGTTGGGAGTGGCTTGCCAGCCATGTGACTGAGTGGGAGTGGCTTGGCAATCATGTGACTGGGTGGGCGTGGCCTACTTGTAAAATGTGGTGAAACTCACTTAACAANGTATGTATGTATGTATGTATGTATGTATGTATGTATGTATGTATGTATGTATGTATATTGTGAAAAGTTTATAGTAAGACTTCATATTGTAATAAAATGAAAGAGTTCATTGGTTTATTTAAAGCAATTTTGTCCTGTGATTCTGCTGAAAAATTTATCTGAGTGGCAAGTGTATTCATGTTTATTTGTATCAGCAATGTCAAAATAGCAGATGTGATTATGATGATTGAAATTCTACTTTCTTTTATATGGGTACAATTGTCATAATGCACTTCAAAAGGGGACAGGATTTCAGTTGTAATTCTGAGACCCAATGTAGAGGCTTATCTATGGTCAATAAAGTCAGGACAACCCTTCCCCACCCTCATCCTCATCATCCAATTGTGCTCATCATCACAATTATCCGAAATGAAAAAAAGAAAGGCATTCTTATAATGATTATCTAGAAAACAGTTCAAGGACAGAAAAAATGTGATGAAACTAATCTTTGAGCAGAACTCATGGAATTCCCATTTTATCATCTTCTCTTACACTTACAGCTTGACGAAATGGATGTTACCAGGTGACAATTCAGGAAACAGAACTGGATGAACATACTAAAAGAAATTAAAAGCTAGAGTTATTAATTCAATTTGGCCCTGGACATGTGACATTGATCAGCAGCGTTTGGCTGGTGTTTCATCTTACTCAGTTCCAATTTACTCTAAATTTCTTTCTAACTTTGAGTTCAGATTGTAAAATTCAATCGCATTCTGTAAA